AGGGCCACCCTGATTGTGATCTCTTCTAGTATTACTTTTTCTCAGTATAATATGTTTTTTTATTTATTTCGGAAGAGGCATATAATGTAGGATTTATCTTTAACATCTTGAAATTTCTCCACATAGTCAGTTCTAACATTACAAATGGGTTAGTGGGTGGGGCCATTTAAAGGATTCAGTTTCTATATTAAAAAAGCCCACACTTTTGAGATCGATACCCGTTTTTTTCCTCTTCCCTTTCCACCAAGCAATGAAATGATCCAATCCTTGTAAATGTTACATTATTACATTCAAATATTGTTAATAACCGAAATCAATAATCGTCAACTTTGTTGTGCATGGCGAGTAAAATTTTACCTATTTTGTTGATGATGTAACATGGTAGTTACAAATTAGCCTACTAAAGTTGATTTGTTGAATTTGGGGGGTATGTTTTTCCAAAGTTGGGGATCTGGGGTGTTGTAGTTCGACAATTACTGAGATTCGGGGAGTGGATTTTCAAATTCAAGGATTTGAAGGGTACATACGCAGAAAAACCCTTTGTCTTCCTCTTTCAAGTTCAAACCAATTATTTTTTCCAGATTTCCTCTGACACTTTTCTTAGTTTTGGGGAATTTGATTAGAGAGTTGCTCATTAATATTCTTGCAGGGAGGAGCCAACTGAGCCTTACACCTACCTCGATCTGGACCCACCGAAGAGGGAAGAATCGAAGCTAGAGTAACAGAAAGAAAAACCCTAAATTTGTGAGGTCAACTCATCAGATGATATCCCTCACAAAATTATGATCATAAAACTAGCAAAATGTATTACCCATAATAAATTTATATCTTCTCTTGAATGATTTACTTGCACATGTATCTTTTTCTGTATCATGCAAGCATTTTTGCAAACATCATGAAGTCGACAAACATGTATCAGGTTTTTATGTGAATTGTTCGACATATCCTAATAACCATCGTGTTCAGACTGTAACCATACTCTCTTGGTGATCATTAGCTTTTACCAGTTTCTGATCTGTTGTTTTACCATCTCCGCTTTACTTACTTTATGGGTTCTTTAGCAACGGAATTGTAGCCAATGCACGTATATTTCCCAGTTGAGTTGAGAACACTTGAAAATAATGACAACTGCATGTTTGGTACTTGAAACGCACAGCTTATGCTATCTATCGGTCATCCTGTCCGAAGTTTCGTGTTGATTCAGGTATTAGAAGATTTAAATTGGTTAATTCAGTCACGGGCAGGATGTTCTGAGCCATTCATGGGGAATGAACAATTTTTATATTATAATTGTCGGTTGGTTCAGAACAATCAATCGGCTCCAACTTCTGTGTGGAGTGTTACGATGAGATCGGTATCCCCCAGCCTTATAGGATTGATTTGTATTATTTGCGGTGCTTTTATTAAAAATAAAAGGAAATTCTCATATTATAGGCTCAGCATTGGTGGGTTACTTCGTCCCTTAACCGTGAAGTTTTTGAGGTGCATGCCTAGTGTATAATTGTAGTTATAGACTTATTATCCTAAATAAAACAGCCAAGTTATAACGTTCTTATATTTTTAAATAAAACAGCCAAGTTATAACGTTCTTATATTTTAATTTTTTAATTCATTCCTCGGAGTGAAGTTGTTTTACAGAATATATGTTCAAAGAGGGACCAGTGGGAACTGGCACACCTCGGTTTTGGGCCTCCGGCCTTTTGTTAAGGGGCCCTTGAAAAGTTTTTAATTAGGCCCAACAGATGTTGGGTTCTGATTATGTGGGCTAGTATCTTTTAACAGGACTGGGTCGGGTTGGCTACTAGGACATCCGTTCTGTAAAAGAAAATTTTCAGCATGGAGCTTGAAACCTCTGATCATGCGCTAAAGCTTGAAAACATATATATTGCCATGTCATTTCTTTGGAGACTCATAATTTCTAATAGGGATTCACAATCATAAAAATGATTATAGTTTTTATGTGAAGTAGAATTATGGAACTACAGTACTTCAAGTAATAATTAATGCAATCTCTGCGTTGCTTAGCAGTAGTCTCCATTCCTTCAGACAAATACGCAGGGACAGCTTGTCATCTCTAAATTTATTTGAAGTTTTGAACTATCAAGTCTATACTCAAGATGTTTTCAGCTAGGCCTGTTAAGACAAAAAGGACTTAATTTCACATTGATACCTCATTCAAGGATTCGTTCTTATTTCACTTTGATTCTCTTGCCCATTATTCATTAAAATTATACCATGTGTATGTTCAAGGTGCAATTCTATAGGAGTTCAATTATGAACCATACTGTCATGTATTCTCCATGTAAATCAGACTCCACGTATAACAAATCACTGGAACGAATCGTAATTATCCAAGATATTATCGAAAAGCAATTATGACTCAAAAAATAATCTTTAGTGCGCCAGAACCAAGAGAATCCAAGTTGATCATCAACTGTGACCATTAGGGGTGTGCAACGGTCGGTTCGGTTTGGTTTTTACTAAAATTTGAATAACCGAACCAAACCGTCTATAATTCAAAACCGAACTGTTGCAAGTCGGTTCGGTGCGGTTCGGTTCGGTTTGTTCAGTTCTAACTTCATCAAATTTCTTATCAAACAACAAACTGTGTTAAAGAAAAAAAAGATATCAACAAAGTAGGATATTATGAAGCATTAAACACTGATATAATGATATTGTTTTCAACCTATAATGATTCAGAAAATGAGTTTAGGGTTCGAGTCTTTGACTCTTTGGGGACGGGTCGGGTAGGGTTTAAGATCGGAATGTAGTCGGTTCGGGCCGGTTTGGGTTAAAAAGTTTTCAAACCGACTCGAACCGTCCTACTCATAAAACCGATTTTTTCGGGTGGGTTCGGGTCGGTTCGGTCGGTTTTTTCGGTTTGGACCGAACCATGCTCAGCCCTAGTGACCATCATCAAATTTGCATGTATGAGCTGGAAATTTTACTCAAATAAATCAGAAAATTTATTGCATTAGCCAGTATTCACTAATTTATTTCACTGAATCAAAAACCATATCGTTTTGTTTCTCAAATTTATAATATGTTAATAATATGTTTAATACTAACGTTATAACGAGTCAAACTAGTGTTGACCAAAAATACTTAACATGGTGTTTTGAAAACGTTTTAAGGGAAAAACGCAACACCATAGTGTTTTTTTTTACAAAAACACAACAAAGAAAACACAATGATATCCAAACGAAGCCTAAATTGTGACAAGACCTGAGTTCACGAGGGTTTCAATTTGCAAAAAAGTACAACAACTGTGCAGAGCAATAGTACGGCGGGCTTGCTTTGCGGGTCTGTGAACCGGGCTAGTAACTCCATTCCTCTGCATTTATTTCTACAGCTGGTTCCTTTCTTTTAACAATGTAGTATTATTACAATTTAAAAGTTGTCATGTTTTTTTCTTCGCTAATTTTCTTCTGCTAGGAGATAAATTAAAACGGTTTTTCTATAGAGTGCCCATTGTCACTTTATAAGAGAGGAGTGAGATAGAGAGAAGAATGAGTACCCTCCAATCACCAATACCGATATCCTGTACTATGCAACAATAAATACAATAAGCTACATTAATAAGTAGATATCTTTTTCTGTTTAATCTTCTCCGATGAGAACTGATCAGTTAGTACCAAGTTTATGTGCACTTAAAAGAAGCATTCACTCCACCCACCCACCCTTCGTTCTTTATATACATGCAAGCAGTCACAACGCCCTCAGTACTCTATAATATTCCTACGCTATGTTAACTATGGA